TATGAGTCGGGGCTGCGACGGCATGTAACAGCAACAACAACATAGTCTATTAAGTGTGTAATAGAATTATAAAAATGTTTGAAATATTGAGAATTACTAAAGCGTGACACAGAAGCACAAGGTGAGCACATGCTGTTGGAAAAATGGCAGATTGACTTGCTCGCAGGGTTGCCACACACCTTTGATGTGTAAAATAAAGCACAATAAAACAAGGTATGCCTGCAGCAGGAAGAGCACGGGCTGGGGAGTAACAAGGAACGGGCCTGGGATTTGGGCTGCATTTCCTAGCAGGGCTTGGTCCTCAATTCAGTGTCTTGAGCTGTGGATCAAGACTTGTAAGTTGTTGTTTGTTGTTGTTATGTGCCGTCGAGTCGGACCCGACTCATAGCGACCCCTCCTTGGGTTTCCGAGGCAGTATCACTACGGAAGTAGGATTGCCCAACCTTCCTTCCGGGGGAGGGCTTGTGGGTTTGAACCCCCCGGCCGTCTGGTTAGCAGGCAAGTGTCTTAGCCACTATGCTACCAGAGCTCCCCAGACTTGTAAGTGGAACAAGTAAATCAGTCAGCATTTTTTTTTTCTTAAAAGAACACATTCATATAAAATTGTTTTGTTAAAATTCTATTTGTGTGTGTGTGTGTGTGCGCGCATGCATGCGCAGTGGGTTGTGATGTCAAATGCATGTTTTTACTCTGGGTTGTGGGCAAAAGGTTGCTGTTGTTGTTAGGTGCTGTTGAGTCGTCTCCGAGGCCTAGCAACCTTATGTACAACAGAATGAAACACTGCCCAGTCCTAAGCCATCCTCACAATCACTGCTATGGTTGAATTCATCGTTGCAGACACTGTCAGTCCATCTTGTTGAGAGTCTTCCTCTTTTTTGCAGACTTTCTACTTTACCAAAGAGCTCTGGTAGCGTAGTGCCTAAGGCATTTGACTGCTAATCAGAAGGCTGGTGGTTCAAACCCACCAGCCACTCCTCGGAAAGAATGTTGGGCAATCTACTTCCATAGGGATATTGCTTCGGAAACCCAAGGAGGGGTCGCTATGAGTTGATGGCAGTGAGTTTGTTTTTTTGGTTTTCCACTTTACCAAGCATGGTTTCTTTCTCCAGGGATTGGTCCCTTCTGATAACATGACCAAAGTACCACAGATGAAGAATGGCCCATTCTCACTTCTAAGGAGCATTCCAGTTATGCTGCTTCCATGATAGACTTGTTCATTCTTCTGACAGTCCGTGGGATTTTCAGTATTCCTCACCAACACCACAATTCAAAAGCATCAGTTCTTCTGGGATCTTCCTTATTCGTTGTCTGGCTTTCACATGCACACGAGGCTACTGAAAATACCATGGATTGCGTAAGGTGCACCTTAGTCTTCAAAGTGACATCTATGCCTTTTAACACTTTGAAAAGGTCTTTTGCCGATTTTCCCAGGGCAGTACATCATTTGATTTTTTTTCACTGCTGCTTCCATGGGTGTGGATACAAGAAAAATGAAATCCTTGTTAACTTCAATCTTTTCTCCATTTATTATGATGTTGCTTATTAGTCCAGTTGCGAAGATTTTTGTTTAATGTTGAGGTGTAAACCATACTGCAGGCTGTAGTCTTTGATTTTCATCAGTAAGTGCTTCAAGTTTTTTTCACTTTCTGCAAGCAAGGTTGTGTCATCTGCATGCTGTAGGTTGTTAATGAGTCTTTCTCCAATCCTCATGCCACATTCTTCAGATAGTCCAGCTTCTTGGATTATTTGCTCAGCATACAAATTGAATAATTATGCTGAAAGAATACAGCTCTGACACACACCCTTCTTGATTTTAAACCATGCAGTATTCCCCTGTTCAGTTTGAATGGCTCTTGGTCTATGCACAGGCTCTGCATGAGCTCAATTAAGTGTTCTGGAATTCCCACTCTTCACAATAATCTGTGTATGACCCACATAGTCGAATGCCTTTGCAAAATCAGTAAAGCACAGGTAAACATCTTTTTGGAATTGTTTTCAGCCAAGATACATCTTACTTACATCAGCAATGATCTCTCTTGTTCCAAGTCTTCTTCTGAAAGCAGCTTGAATTTTTGGCAGTTTCCTGTCAATATACTGCTGTGATTGTTTTTAAATTATTTTCAGCAAAATTTTACTTGTGTGTGATAGTAATGATATTGTTTGATAATTTTGGCATTCTGTTGGACACCTTTCTTTGGAATGGGTACAAATAGCGATGTCTTCCATTCAATTGGTCAGGTAACTGTCTTCAAACTTCCTTGGCATAAACAAGTGCGTGCTTCCAGGGTTGCATCCATTTCTTGAAACATCTCAATGGAAATCCCTTCAATTCCGGGAGCCTTGTTTTTTGCCAATTACTTCAGTGCATCTAGGGCTCCTTCCTTCAATGCCATTGGTTCTTGATCATATTCTGCCTCCTGAAATGGTTGAATGTTGAACCAATTCTTTCTAGTACAGTGACTCTGTGTATTCCTCCCAACTTCTTTTGATGCTTCCTGCATTGTTCAATATTTTTGCCCATAGTATCCTTCACTATTGCAACTCAAGGCTTGCATTTTTTTCTTCAGCTCTTTGCTTCTGAGAAATGGTAAGTATATTCTTCCCTTTTGGTTTTTTAACTCTGGGTCTTTGAACATTTCATTGTAATACTTTGTCTTCTTGAGGCACCCTTTGAAATTTTCTCTTCATTTAATCATTTCTTTCCTTTGTTTTCACGATTCTACTTTTAAGAGCAAGTTTCAGAGTCTCTTCTGACATCCATTTTGCTCTTTTCTTTCTTTCCTGTGTTTTCAGTAACTTCTGGCTTCTTTATGTATGATGTCCTTGATGTCATCCCACAACTCATTTGGTCTTCAGTCATTGCCTAACCTTTTATGTTGTTGAAAAAAGGTACGTGCAATGAATAAGTTATTGGTCTTGCAAAATTCTATCATGCGATCTCCTGTGTCATTTCTATCACAAAGGCCCTACTTTCCAATGACTGATGTTTCTTTGTTCCCAACATTCACATTCCAAACACTCCTGTAACTATTAATGCATCCTGTTTGCACATTTGGTCAATTTCAAACTGCAGAAGTTGGTAAAAATCTTCAATTTCTTCATTTTGTTTATGGTTAGTGTGTAAATTTGAGTAATAATAGGATTAACTAGTCTTCTTTGTTGGTGTATGGGTATTATTCTGACACCGACAGCATTTTACTTCAAGATAGATCTTGAAATGTTCTTCTTGATGATAAATGCAATGCCAGTCTCCTATTTCAGCTCACTAATGCCTAAGACATTGGTCTTTATATGTTCCATTTCATTTTTGACAAATTCCAATTTTCCTAGATTCATACTTTGTACATTCCACATTCTGATTATGAATGGATGTTTGCAGCTGTTTCACCTCATTTTGAGTCATGCCACATGAGCAAATGAAGGCCCTGAAAACTTTACTCCATTGACTTCAATAAGGTTACTCCACTGATATCACTAAGGTCATCTCTACTTTGAGGAGGCTGCTCTTCCCCAGTTGTATTTTGAGTGCCTTCCAACCTGAGAGGGTCATCTTTCGACCCTGTATCAGATAATGGTTTATTGCTGTTCACTGGGTTTTCTGGCATTTTATCAGACAGTGTTTCCCCACTATTCACAATCTTTTTAGTGGTCAATTTTTTCAGATGTGGACTGTCACATCCTTCTCCCTAGTCTGTCTTACTCTGGAAGCTCTGCTGAAACCTGTCCACTATGGGTGACCCTGCTGGTACTTGAGACACTGGTATCATAGCTTCCAACATCACAGCAACACACAAGCCATCCCAGAATGACAAACAGACAGATGAGTGGTGCTGTGGGCAAAGTAAGTAAGCAAAATATTCCTTTAGGCTTTCTGAGTCTCTTTTCCTGAGTCTGTAAAATGGGTCAATAACCTGAACTTCATAAGGTTTTTGTGAACATATAACATATGTCTTTATCCTCAATCCATCCACCTTCATCTCCACTATCACCGTCCAGCCCTGGCACTACTATGTTTTGCCTGGACAACTGCAACAGTCCCCTAACCAGATGTCACTTATCTACCCCATCCCACTACAGTTCTTTCTCATTACAGGAATAGCGAGCATCTTAAAACCTAATTCATATTGTGTCAATCTGCTGCCTAATTTCCGCTCCCCCCCAAACTTTTTATTGTGATTTGGGTGAAATTCTACAGAGCAGATTCATTTTCCATTCAACAGTTTGGGTGAAATTTTGCAGAAAAGATTCGTTTTCCATTCTACAGTTTATACACATTTTGTTTGGTGACATTGATCACAACCTTCACAACATAACAGCTCTCTTCCCACTTCCTGCCTGTGGTTACCTTTTCCTTGTGGCCTTCTTTCCTATGCATTCCTGTCTCCCTAGCTTTCTCCTTGTGCAAATGCTGCCCTTCTGAACTCCCTGGTGGACTGTTCTCAGGAGCACATCTCCCTGGTGTAATTAATTGTTCATCTCCAAGCTCTATTATTTGGCTGAAAGTTAAGCCACAGGAGTGAGTTCAATCCCAGACCTGAAGGGTGGGTAGGGGCCATAATCTTAAGGGTTTCATCAGTCTCTATCTGACCAGTAACCCTAGTCTTTTTCATGTTTTTGAATTTTGTTCAACATCTTTCTTCCACTTTATCCAGGATCTCCAATTCTGATCTCTAAGTGGCTGGCATTGGTAGCCGGGCACCATCTAGTTCTTCTGGTCTCATTAGTCCCGTGGGCTAATTTTCTGCATGCGTCTTTGCTTTCCTTCACTTCCCTTTTTTTCTGGAAGAGGAGAGACCAATAGGTGCATCTTAGAAGCCTAAATTCTTGCACTGATCTCCCACTGAAGTAAGAAAAGTCCAGACTTCCTACCATGTCCTGCCCTCGTGGTCTGGCCCCGCACCCGCCTGTTGGGCCCATTCTTTCGCATTAACCCCCTCCCACTCACCCTCTGGTTTACCCGGCGCTGCGGAACCCCCAGAGGCCCCTGGCAACCGGCACAGGTATGTGGCGTGCCCCAAGCCCCCAGGACACGGCGGCGCTGGTGTTTACGTTCCGGGTTGGGGGGCGGGACCAGGACGGCGGCGCTTTACTTCCGGGGCGCGGTGGGGCTGGGCGGGCTCCTGGTCTCCTGGCCTGTGCGGAGCTCCGCGGCGGCAGTGGCGGCGGCGGCGGAGGCGCGGCGCGGCGCGGGCGTCGGTCCGGGGAGCGGCATCATGAGCGGTGAGTGGCGGCCCCGCCGCTGTCACTTGCCCCGGTCGCCCCGGCTCCCGCCGCTCCAGTGACACATTGCGGAGCCTGAGTGCTCGCATCCCGCTCGCTCCCAGACCCCCGCCTCATCGCCGGCAGCGTCCTGGCCGCCGGGACGCCGGGTTCCTGGCCCCGGTCACTTCCAGTTCTGGGACTGCCCGAGTCCAGGCACGCCCAGTCTGCGGATCCCTGTGCACTAGTGACAGCGGGCGCCCGGTGCCCCAGTCCCTCCCAGCGCTCCGACCACGTTGCCCGGTTGCCGGAGCCTGGTGCTCACGGTCTCGTCTGGCTTCCAGACGCCCGAGTCCCCGCTCAGTCATTCCCGGGACCCCTGTCTCCAGTCACTCCGTTTTGCACACAGGCGAAGGGTGGCTCTCGATGGCCCTGAAGCCTGGTGTCCCAGGAGCCCCCAGCCCCCAAAGGACTGTCAGTTCCTCAACCCCTTTGTCTCTCGCTCGTCTTAGTCCCCCTGCGCCCCTGTGCTGTGCTGTCCCGGTCGCCACCGTCCCAGGTGCCGTCCCCGCCTCCCTTCTCGGTCCCGGGCTCTCACACCGCGCTCATGCCTTCTGGCCCAGCGCCTGCCATTGCTTTCTTTGCCTCCTGCGAGGTCTCTCTTGCCCTGCCCTGCAACCCTCTTTCTTGCCCAGGGCTGAGCCCATCTGGGGACCCCGCTTCGCCCTCCTCCCTCCCACCCGGGAGAGGGGTGGTTCTGGCGGGGAGGCTGGCAGGGGAGGCAGGTGGGTGTACACAGCTTGTCCTCAGTGTTTCCGAAGTTTGGTCCCTTGGTTCTGACTCGCTGTCCACAGCCCTTTCCTATGAAGAGTGCTATTGGTGTCTTGGTGCTAAGTCATTCCCGGGTCTTCTAAGTGGAGATGGCAGTGACTCAGGGAAGCTTCTGGGCTCGCCTCTGACTGCCTTTCCGGCCACTCTGGGATCTGGACTTGCTTGGCAGGAACCGCCTAGCCTCGGAGTGCTTGTTCCCCTCACTGTGCAGTTGCTTCTGAAGGACCCTGCGTGCAGCCCCTCGGCCCTGGCGTGGAGAATTTCTGGAGATTGAGAGTGGGGCAAGGTGACAGGGCTGCTCCTCTCTTTCTAACTTTTATCTCTGTGGACTCTTTTCCCCCAAGTTACTGCTGTGCAAGAGCCAGATTTGTGAAACCATGGTCCTTATGGTTCGTGGCGGAGGAGGAAGGTTGCTGTGAGATTGTCCGTCTTCTGTCGCCAAAATGATGGATTAGTTAAGGGTTCTTGAACATTAGTGATACCACAACAGAGGTTTGATGAGCTGCCTTACCAACAGGGCAAAAATAGCCATTGAGATCACACTAGCTGACTGTCCTAGAAGTCCCAGCATAATGGGGAGAAATAATAGTATCTGTCTCCTAAACCCATTTCTATTGACTGTGTGCTGACTCACAGAGACCCTATAGAACAGGGTAGAACTGCCCCATAGGGTTTCTAATGCAGTAAATGTTTATGGAAGCAGACTGTCTCGTCTTTCTCCTGCAGAGTGGCTGGTGGGTTTGAACTGCTGACCTTCGGGTTAGCGGCTGAATGCTTTAACCACTATACCACCAGAGATCTTACCTACCTCCTAGGGTTGTTGTAATGACTCAATAGTACTTTTTAGGAAAAGTGATTGTTACTGTGCATCTCACATGGTATATGAGATCTGTTATTGATTCCATAGGACCCATATGGGGTTGGGAGGGGGCTGGTTTCTTGGCCTAGCTTTGGGATAAGGGCTGGGGCTAGGCACACCCTGGAAATCTCTTCCTTTTAATGTGACCAAGGAGTCCTTGCCAGCAGCTCACAGTTAGGGACCATTCTTTCTTCTGTGTTCATCACAAGAGGAAGTGAAATTGCCTAGCCAAGGGGGAGTCCATCAGTGTATCTTTCAGGGGCCAGTTTAATATCAAAGCTAAGGAATTTTCCGTTTTGAGTTTTAATCATTAGGTCAAAGACCAAACAGATTCCAGAAGGAAAGCAATAAAGGGCTATTTAGGGAAGAAGCACTAAGGGTGAGACTTCTTGTGGAAAGATTGGAGTTGAGGCAGAAAAAGTGGTTGCTGAGGATGGAAGGGGAATTCCCGGGTATTTTCAATCCTTTGTTGATAGCACCGTTGAGGGGACTTTCCCACCTGTGGGACTAAACTCGGGCACACAATAAAATAAGGCATAGAAGTTTTTCCTCTCTTCTTCTTTAATAGAACATTTCAAACATCACAGAAGCAAAGAGAATAGTATGATAACCCCACATGGTACCTACCAGGTGGATTCCACAATTACCCACTCATTTAATCTGTTCTCCTACTTACTCCCCTCCCCTGCGCAGATTATTTGGAAGCAAATCCCAGACACCATTTCATCTCACCTGTAACTGTTTCAGAATGTATCCCTAAAATACAGGGATTCCTTCTTTCATAACTGAATTCCATTATCAACCCTGTGAGAAAATAAGAATAATTCCCTAATATCATCACAAGTCCAGGGAATGCAGATTTCCACAGTTGTCTTATAAGTTTTAGTTTATTTGTTAAACTCAGGATGTAAATAAGATTTAAACACCGTGAGCTGGTTATCTGTCTTTTTGTATCTATCTTCTTACAGCCCAGTAGCGTTGAATACATTCACACTGCTGGGCTGTCCTCGCTGCTGTCTCTTGTTGTTGTTATGTGCCATCGGCCGACTCAAAGTGACCCCTCCTTGGGTTTCCGAGGCAGTCTGGTAGCACAGTGCCTAAGGCACTTGAATGCTAACCAGAAGGCTGGCGGTTCGAACCCACCAGCCACTCCTTGGAAGGAAGGCTGGGCAATCTACTTCCATAGTGATACTGCCTCAGAAACCCAAGGAGGGGTCGCTATGAGTCGGGGCCAACTTGACGGCACATAACAACAACAACATCTCCACGGAAGTAGATTGCCCAACCTTCCTTCCGAGGAGTGGCTGGTGGGTTTGAACCGCCAGCCTTCTGGTTAGCAGTCAAGTGCCTTAGGCACTATGCTTCCAGAGCTCTTTCCACCACTGCCCAGTTCTGTGTATTTCCATCACCATACTCCCTCCTTTACTACGCATTTCCATCACCATATTCCCTCCTCCTTGTAGCCCCTGGCAGCCACTCATCTGCTTTCTGTCAGTATGGATTTGCCTATTTTGGACATTCATTCCGTACACATGGAGTCATATGCTATGTAGCCTTATGTGTCTGGCTTCTTAGCATGTTTTCAGGGTTCACCTGTGTTGTAGCCTGTGTCAGTACTTCATTCCTTTTTATGGCCTAGTAATATCCCACTTTATATATCTTTCACATTTTGTTTGCACAGTCATTTTGATGGATATTGAATTGTTTCTACCTTTTGGCTGTTTTGAATAGTGCTACTTTGGACAGTTATTCACAAGTATTTGTTTGAACACCTGTTTTCAGTTCTTTTGGGTATACAGTGAAGGGGGTCATTGTTGTTGTTGTTGTTATGTGCCGTCGAGTCGGCCCCGACTCATAGCGACCCCTCCTTGGGTTTCCGAGGCAGTATCACTATGGAAGTAGGATTGCCCAACCTTCCTTCCGAGGAGTGGCTGGTGGGTTTGAACCGCCAGCCGTCTGGTTAGCAGGCAAGTGTCTTAGCCACTATGCTACCAGAGCTCCTCATATGATAACTCTATGTTTACTTGTTTGAGGAGCTGTCGGACTGTTTTCCAAAGCAACCACACTATTTTTTATTTCCACCAGCAGTATATGAGTGTTCCAGTTTCTCTGTATCCTTGCAAACACTTTGATTTGTCTGTCTTTATGGTTATGGCCAGCCTAGTGGATTAGAAGTAGTATCTCACTGTGGTTTTGGTTTGCATTTCCCTTTTGCTGATGGCATTGTTCATCTTTTCATGTGTGTATTGGCCATTTATAGGTCTCTGGAGAAGTGTGTGTTGAGAGTCTTTGCTGATTTTTTAATTTGGTTATTTGCCCCTTAATTGTTGAGCTGTAAGAATTCTTTGCATATTCTGTGTACAAGTCCCTTATCAGATACATGATTTGCAATTCTTTTCTCCATTTCCATAGGTTGTCTTTTCAATTTCTTGATGATTTCATTTGAAGCACAAAGTTAAGTCTTTTTTAAATTCCAAGTTCCCCTTTCATCTCTGTCTTTTCCTCCCCTTGCAATTGTCGTTGAAGGAAACATCATCATCGTCATCTATCTGGTAAGGTTTCCTTCTGGGATTTTGTTGATTGGATTCTTTTGGTGCAGTGTGTTTTGTTGACCCTGGTATAGCCTATAAATTACGAATTAGAGTCTGCTGGGTTTTCTTTCTTTTCTTTTTTTTTTTTTTGAGTTGAAAATGTTTGAGTAGAGTCCGAGGTCACATGGGTTCAAGGCTGAGTACATTAAGTGCAGATAACCAGGAAGTGGAATGGCATTAGGTAAAACACATACAAGATAAATGGGTATCATGAGGCTAGTAGCAACTGAAATGACCATTAATAGGGAAGTGGGTATAGTGGTATAGTCACCTGCTAAAAAACCTCAGAGATGATAAGAGGAGTAAAACGGATTGATACACATTACTGTGCTGTATCAGCAACGTCAGTGTTGTGTGAAAAAATCAAGGGTGCATTATACCTGCAATATAAGCCTTGATGCCAATGAGAGCATGCTCACCAAACAGGGTGTGTGGATTCATCTATGTGTGTGTTGTTGCTGGCTGCCTCACGTTGGCCCCCAGTGCATTGTGACCCCATGCACAATGGAACAAAATGTTGCCCAGCCCTGCGCTACCCCATGATGGGGTGCTATCACATCATTGTGATCCACAGGAGTTTTATTGGCTGATTCTTGGAAGTTGACAGCCAGGCCTTTCTTTCTAGTCTGTCTTCGTCTGGAAGTTCGGCTAAAACCTGTTCCTCATCATAGCAACACACAACCTCCACTGACAGATGAGGGGCGTTGGCTGGACTTGTACCTGGGTCCCCCGCAGCAGGCTGAGGATTCCACCATCAACCACTGGTGCCCCTTACGTGATGTGTGCAGAAGTAAATGAATGGTTGGGAAGAAAGATGTCTACCAGATAGGGGCAGGCGGTTGTCTTAGGGTGGTGGTCGGAGGCCCTTCAGCTTGATGGTAATCGGTTTGATTTGTTTTCCTTTAGTGCATGCAGTAGGTAGGAACCTTGTTTACCTCTCTCTTCAAGTTAAGGAATTCTGATTTCCAGATAATGCTGTTGCTTTTACTGAGAAAGTAGAACTCATAGGGCTACAAAGTCATTCTTTTCAAGAATTTTCTCCTGTAAGACTTTCTACTTGACGTCCTTGATGCTCATTTCTATCAGTAATTATTCTGTTACAAATCTTTCTGAAGTTCAGCAGACACTGTTGATCCCTGTTTTGCGGGTGGGAAAAGCCCGGCCCAGAGAGGTCCAATACCCCTAGAACAGGGAGCTCAAAGGGCCTAATGCACCAGCGTGTGGGCTTGGT